AACTAGTGTTCTACTGCAATAACATAAAGTCAACAACCATATTCATCATATTCAACTTCTGTTTCAACAAAAATACTACATGTTGAACTATGAATGATAAGTTTAATGAACCTCTTTCAGATTTGTCACAGCAATGAATGTGCTTCGACTATACAGCGCAATTCCACCACCAGTCTACTTCTGAGAACGTGTGGCAAGCACACCAAATCAGTCTATAAGTCAAGACAGATCCTTTGTCTACCAGGCCCTACCGTTGCCAAAACAGTCTCAATCTACAAAAGGTTTAGGTACAGTCAATAAATTTGTTGGATAGTATAGATTCTAGACTCATGGACATTGTTGACATCGCTATTATCCCAAGTAGGAATGTGTCCTAATATACAGTCATTTATGAAAACTCGAGCGCATACATCCTCACAGCAACTAGCCCTTCGAGGAAAGGGTGTAGAAACAACCACTGAATTGTGGTCAATGCTCACCTAACAATGGATTTGCACAATACATCCAAGGAACATACTCGACAAGTGCCCCAGACCTTTCCAGATTGGCTCACTTGCATGATTGAGCGCGTGCCTTGGTTGATGATACACTTGTTTCTGGAGTTGTTCAATGCCTTTGAGCAACTAAAGCCTGAAGAGGAAGAGACAAAAGTGACAAAAGCATCAATGCGTGTCCAAAGTCTAACTACTAACACAAGTAACACAACGAGTTACAGTTCACAGCTTTCACTGTACACTGCTTCCAGCAGAGCCGAAAGTACCTAGCTTGTTTCAAGAATCGCACAAAGCAGAAAGAGGCCAAAGCCAATAAAGCAAAGCTACTGATCACATAGCTTGTGCAAGGCTATGGCGCTGTCAGGTTTTTGCTGGAGAACCGCTGACCTAAACAGCTTGATGTTCGATCGTGCTGCATCTGAGAGTAGTCGAAGAACAAACACATTGCAGCAGTTTGCCCAACCTGAGTGCTGACCAAACCAGACTGCCTATTTGGTACATGGTATGGCACACTAAATATGACTAAGCTAAACTAAACTAAACAACACCTATATTATATATATATAACACATACAGTTTAAAGTTTAAAGGAGAAACCAGAAAGCAAAAAGAGAAAACTGGACACTGGACCAAAATCATCAACTAAGAATCTCCACAACTCAACAGGGTGTTTCCGAAGCAAGCCCTCCCACAAGCACTCCGCAGTGGTGTTTTGCAGAACTGCAGGCGTGATAGGCAATGTAGTGTGCCTTTGGTGTTGGTCAAGTAACTTAGTCAAACGTTCAAAAACTATGTTCCGGACTGGAAGTTCTTAATTCCAGCTCTAGATTGAACAAGTAGTTGAATCTCTGCCACAAGGTCTTACAAAAAACAATGAGTAACACTTGAAATCGCTTCCAATCTGAGCCACTCAAGAATGTCATTCCCAACAAACAGCTCGCATCTTTGCACCTTAGAAGACATTTGCTCACACAAAGCCTTGCTCTTGCACAGCGAGCCCAACAATCAACACAAACCATTTCATTATATTGTTTTCACATCAGCTGTAGTTTTTGTATTTTTTTGTTTGAGTCTCAGCCATCAAGATTTGAACAGTGTGACAAGAAAAACATTCAAAAGGTTTCGTTTAGGGCCAATCTAGATAAACGCCTGCCAGTGTTTCTCAACTGCAACCCTGCATTCAATTGTAGTAAATTACTTTGGGAGTTGTAAATGCGATCTTCTTCAAAGGTCACTAGCTCTCTAGCTGCTTCCCTGGTGTTTCCAGTTTGCCGCAAGGCACCAAAATTGGATATGTCGCTTCTATATCCAGGATGCCGCTTCTTAATCGAGTTCTGCTGCTGGATTCATCGAATTCCAGGCCCACTGCAATAACATCAGCTTTGTCCTGAGTGAGGCACAAGCTAGATCTTTGTTGGTCAGCCTCTGTATTTTGCACAGGTGTTTGTTGAATCATTGGATTGAATGCTATTCTTCATAGTTTTTTTGTCCATTGGAGTCTACCGGAACAATGTGGTGGACTTCTCAAAGAATGCTTGTGAATCTTATGAATAACAAATGCTGTGTTAATTTAATAAGTAATAGCAATACTATAGCTGCCCTGTTTAAATACGCCAAGCCTAAATCAACTGGCAAGATGCTTCCTGGAGCCGCTCACTGGATGCAACCACTTGCTCCCAGAATAGCTGGCAAATCGCTGATCTCACCTTCAACATTTGACCGCAACAACAATAACATTGCAACTTCAGGTCTTGAGTTTGGAATATCATAGGTGCTGGTCTTAATGTAATCCGATGACATGACTATCAGGTTTTGCAATGCAGTTGCAGCCTCAAAAGTTTAATTCTGCATTGAAACAGGAACTGAAACCTGGCAATAGAAAATGTACAATTTAGTTATTATATATATATATATATATTTATTATAAAATAACACCAACACACATTTAAAGTCTAAGTTGGACCCCTTGTCCCTGCAAGATTGAAACCAAGTCACTGAAGATATGAACGATGTTGATGCATTAATCCAGTAAGCCAAGGAATTGAGGGAGAACATGCACGGTGTCTTTGTTTGCATCTTGGATGGAGCATCTTTTTGAGGTGCAACTTCAACTGGTTTGCCGAGCCTTAGTGGAGGAACAAAGTTGCAACTCAATAAATCAGATTACTCTGATTATCTAGTTTTCAGTACAGTAGAACAGCTGATCAACCCAAAACAATAAGGTAAGGAAACTTCAATCAGGAAATAGCCAAAGCACGAGGCTTCCAACATAGCTTGAGCTGTCCATGTTTTGTATCTCCCGCGCCCAGAAACTTTGACACCAGCGTCACCTTTCCGAGGAGCCACCAGCAATCCGCCGCCTACTGAAGACGAAGAACTTCCATTCCTTGTTTGACTAATGTTTGGACTCAAGTGATTTGACACCACCCCGACAAATCTGATTCACAGCATCAAAAGAAAACTGACAACTGGCACTGACTAAGGAGCTGAATGGGAATGCCATTTTGATGTTGCAATCTGCGAACTTCTTTGCCTGAAAACTGACAACTGCTCTATGTTCCCCAGCACTCTTTAAGTTAAACTAACAGTTAAACAGTTTTGCAAACGGCAGCCAAACAAGAAAACTTTATCAAAGTACATGAAACAAATATAACGAATGAACAGCCCAGGCACACTTTCTCATGAATTTCATGTGGGCTGACCCACCAGTGCGCTTTTCATCCTCCCCACTGTGCCAGAGCGCTAGCGCTGACTGAAGGAGGGCCGCCATGGATGCGCAAACATATGATGTTAGTTCCCCTGAAGGTATTCAACTGCATGCAGCTTCCATATAACAACACGCAGGACTTCAACCAAATTTTTGTTTGGTTGAAATGCAATGGAATCCAGGAGCTAGTTGCCTAGTGTGGGGCACAAACGAAGCTGATACTAAATTTAAGTCTGGAGTCCAGTGTCTAGTTTCTCAAGAGTCCAGAGGGATTGGCAATATGCTGGGTACAGACAGCAAATACATGTAGCTGATTCCATGTTTAGTTGCTATGCAGCGAACTACAAAATGTCAAAGAATACCCCATATTGCGACTAGTATTGTGTTGGAACTGGTGCTTTCCATTCATCTATAAGGCTAAGCACTTCACTAAACCCAAAAGCAGCATGTGTTTCTCACACTGTAGGTCTGCGAAAGATATACTTCCTAGTGCCCCAATTGTATTTGTCTATTCGTTTGATATTTACTTTCTATTAGATTGATTCAAATCATTGTTATTGATAGGCCAAGTCAATACAACTTGCAGCCTTTTTTGCTACCAATGATTCCCTTCCTATATTTGTGAAACAGGTGGCTGGCAGGTCAGCGCGCAAAAGCAACTCTGGAAGAACGATTGATGCCTCTCTTCTTGTCACAAAAAAATTGCAGCTCCACACGATGCGGATGTTGTAGATACTAGATTGCAAAAGAAAGTTGTCCACTCCAGTAATTTTAGTAGCAGGAGCAGGAGTAGGAGTAGTAGTAGTAGTAGTAGTAGTAGTAGTGTATAGTATACAGTTATATTATAGTTATAGTCGTTTCATGGAAACTTGTGTAGGCGGACCTCCAATCTAAGCATCACTCCAGCCAAGGCAATATTTGATAAGTTGCCTCCTTTATTGAATTAGAGCCACACAAAACTTGGTGTGCCAGACTCAACAAGGAACACAAGTATATGTGACACCTTACATGTTACATGTTACATTGTACATCATATATGTACCTCAAGGTCACAAACAACAACGGCAACAATCATGAACACCCAGGACCCTCCCTGCACACCCCAAGCATATAACATCCTCCACGTATCCTCTCTTGAACTCTCTTATGACATACCAACGCCAGTAGAGAGCATTTTACTTTGAGCCTTTGTACTCTACCCCAGCACCACTGTACCGCCCTTGTCCCCCCTTGCACCGCACCATGGTACCACTGTACCCGCTGCATTGTGCCACTGTACCCGCTGCATTGTACCACTGTACCCGCTGCATTGTACCAGCGTACCCGCACCTAGCCGTAGGTAGCCTATAAGACAACCTTCCAGCATTACTTTTGAATTTAGATAAATTAAAATATATTAAAATCTATGAGGAGAAATGCTCCAATAGTAGCCCTCCCATCAATACCCTTGTTCTCACAGAAGAGGAATTGCTGCCAAAAACATAGATAGAACGATCCTTGAAAGAACATCTCTTTGGTGACCGGCTCCCCATCCAAAGGGAAAAGCACGGAACAACTCACGAATGACTGACTGGTGCCTAGAAGGGAATGAGGGAATGAGACCCCAAGGTCTATAGAGATTCCTTTGGATCCAACCACCCTTCATTCCCTTCCTAAGCAAGTGAGTCAGTCAAATGATTCCTCCGCTTCCCCAGCGGCCCTGCGGACTCTCTATCTCTGCGAACGAACCGAACGAACCGTTCGCGAACGACTCGGCGTCCCGTTCGAACCGTTTGAGCGAACGAGGGCGCACGGTCGGCCTGGCAATTCAGCACATGCCCACCTGAGGCCACTGACCTGGACCGACGAAGTCCACCGCAACCAGTTGCGGCGTTTTTGACCGATCCGGATCTGAAGAGAAGGTGTGGAAGATGAAGAGTAAAGAAGCGTGTCCATATATGAAGGCGGTTTTGTTCAATCCATCATGTGTGGTTTATGATTTAAATTGATTTAATTATATTAATCTTATGAGTCTACATCAGTGAAACTTGGCCAACCAATCAACTCCCTGCGAACCCAAAAGACCAAGACCAGTTCAACGAGTATGCATTTACAGTATAAGAACGGCTTTCACTGCATGACTCTGCACACCCGCTCTCCGATCACTGTTGGTACACTTCCTCCAATCATCATCGCTTCCAGGCAGCCGGTTCACGTGGTGCTTCACGGGTGTTTCACAAGTGTTTCACGGGTGAATTCCGGGTGAATCACAGTATCACCAATTTAACGTGTTCTTGAACAATATAGGCTAGAAGATGCTAGAAGTATATTATACAGTATATTATAAGTTATAGTATATAGTACGTGCTTACTTTAAATGTGGTTAGAGACAAGTTTTCAGTACGTCAACAGTGAAGTACGTTCATGTGAATGAACTTGAAATGAACAAGTTTAACGCGTACTTTGGTTCATCTAGACTGGCTGTGGCTCAGTTCCTCCACCAAGAGCCGGCACGACCACGACCTACCATGTGTTTCTGTCGCTACAGGCCGTTCGGGCCGTGCGGAGGCAGTGGCTTCTTTACCTCATAATGGCCTCCAACCTAATAGCAAAAAGGAACCCACTAGCGATGGCCTCCACCCTAGTAGCGATGGCGATGGCCTCCAAACCTACTAGCTATGGCCTCCAACCTGTGCTTCTGGCCATATTTGCCCAAAAGAAAGCACTCCAAGACCATCCATGCTTGCTGACATGAAGGGCCATGGGCCCTTTATCTATAGTCCACAGACAGTCACCGTCACCCTCGTCATGCACGGCTCACCGCTTTCGTCTCGCCGGGGAGCTGAAGGCCCGGTTCCAAGTCGGTGTACTCCATTTCTTCGTGAACCTGCACCGTCACTGAAGGCGACAAGCAACCGAGGCTGAACCAAAGGCTGAAGCAAAAAACCCCAAAGTTGGCTTGACTGGAACGGTTTCGCCATAAAGCTGGAGGTGGTGTGTCTATCTCATGGATCATCATGAATCATGATATATCATAATACGTTTCCTTTCTGATGGTGATGATGGGTCACAGCCGCCTCTCTCTCTCTCTCTCTCTTTGCGGTTCTTGTGACACACACCCCATGTCGGTGCTTATGTTGGACCCGTGCAGGGCCTAGGTTAACAAAGAACAAACAATACCTGGTTCTCCTTCCTGGCGGAAACTGAAGTTGGCAAATGTTTGTCATGAGTCACCTTCATAGACCTTCTGTTAATACACGTCTTATATAATAGGTGCTGAGTCATTGAGGGTACATTGCAGCACCTGCTGATTGCAGTCGTTGTCTGTTTCGCATGATGAAGCGCGAAGCTCTACCAACTTGCAAAGCAAGAGCAGGTGGGCAAGAAAAACATATCGTTTGGATCCCTGCAAAAAATTATAATCAAAACAAACCTTTAGAATCCTTTAGAGGTGCCATTAACAACCCCTACTTGACAAGCGAAAAATTGCTTGCTGTGATTGACTAATAGTGGAGGGGTCTGGGGTTTCTCGCCAATCCCTATAGGTTTTGAGGGACCGGAAGTAGAGTCGGGCTGGTTTCACGGAGCGTCTGGGATCTGTCGCAGCGTTGGTCCATCGACGATCCGACGGCGAACCGCGGATGGCACCTCTCTCCGGCTGCACCGGCCGTGCTGTTTTTGTTTGCCGCGGACCGCGGATCTTGGGAGCCCGGAGTGCGGCGGTGTTCGAGCCCAAAAGGATTGGCAGGGTCGGTTTTCTTTTGGAAACGACACAGTGTCAATTGTTCTTTTTGCATTATGTGTGTGTTCTTTTTTGTTTTCTTTGAGGCCTTGATAAGCCATAGGTCTGAAGGGCCTTGAGAGTTTCATGCCTGATAAGTGCAGTTAGCTTCCGAAAGGTCACTGATTTATGTTGTTGCTTGCTTGGGAAGGGAACTTTGTAGTTCTCAGTAAAACCAGTCATCTACGCTCGCCACAAGTTCCGCTAGTTAGGGCCAGAGACCATCAAATTCCATGTGTCCATCCCTGGAGTCGACCCGTTCGTACCTCGGACAATGGGTACAAGATGGTACAAGTACACTCTGACTCACTAACATGGAAGTGGAAAATGGCCTCTTGGAAGACTACTTTCCTCTACAAACAGTGGGTTTTCCATTTCCATGTTAGTGAGTCGGAGTGTAGCTTTTTTGGGGGGGGGTCATGTCCCATTTTCTAAGTACCAGTCGGGTCCAGGTAGTTTCCGGATGCCTTCTTGACTAGTCTTTCGGCCCGGTAGTTTGGGTGCATGTGCAATGGGTGGTGACTGGGGTATCCGTCAACCACCGGGCTCCACTCATCACCCCTTGGGGTGCCGAGCTCTCCGAAGAGGGTGGTTGAGCAGAATGGGCATGTTCATGGGCACTGAGGTTTCACTTCCTTTAAAAACCTGCGATCGATCATCCATTTTTCTTGGTGTTCTGGACATCCGGGCTGGAACACATCACAGCGCAGCGACGTGGCATCGCGCATGTGGCGCTCCGTTTTGGCGTCGCCGTCGCTTGGCGCGTTCTGCGTCGCTGTCGGCCTCTGCAGGGTTTCTCAAGGATGAAACATCGGATTTGATTCCGAACCGGGAAATCACCATATTCCCCGGTTCCCAACCGGTGCATATCACCATCTGTGGGTTCAGGGCAGAGTTTGGGACACATTTCCCCCACCAAATGGTCCCCCAGAACTCGGGGATTCACGCAGTAATCACTCGTTCGCGGTATCTATGTTCTTTTTCTCCAATGTAATGTTGTTCTATGAACCTTAGGATTCACAATTCTTCAAAATTATTCAATAAACATTAAATTAGTAAACCCTCAGAAATGCGACCTCCTTTTGAGAAATCAACTACCGCCACCATCTCTTCAAAACGATCTGAGTCATGTGAGTCGTGCCTTCCTCATCTCGTTATACATTCTCCGCCATCATTTCACCCTGCCCGAAAAAATCTCAACGTCAAAACCCACCGAACCCCCCCCCCACCTTTCGCCACCGGCTTCCGAACGGCGCCCGACCGAGGCGGCGAAGCGACCGCGGCGGCGAACCGCGCACCGGTCGCCTCTTCCAGGGCGGCAGCGGCTTCTCCGCCGAGCCAGTGGACGCCGAGACCTGGAGCGCGAGGCGAGAGGAGGCCCCATGGGAGCTCCGAGCCGGCCTTTAGGGCCGTGGTTGGTGGGTGTTTGTGACCGCAGAATTGCTGTGGCCCAAAGATGTGGGGAAACCAAAAACAAGGTGTGTTGGATTATTGGATCCTTTGTAACTCTTTTTAGGTGCATTGATGCATGAAGATATTGTATGAATTGAAGAGGTAATGCATCTGTAATTCTTTGATCTACTGGATGGGGAACTCTTCAGGCTGCAGATCTTGCCCAGAAAACCTTACATTGACATGAGGTTGTGCAAAAACCTCTGTATTTCCCTAGCTGGACCATTTTGACGTTATCATTAGTTTAGGGTCTTGTCAAGACTACTACAGGATGGCTGGTACCATGTCCAAACATTGAGAAGCCACCAACACCCTGATTTTTGTGGCCAAACACCCGAACATCATCCCTATATATCACTTGATTGCTCTTTTATCAAAAGCTCCTTTGAAGCAGTCTTTCATGAAGAGATCATTGAACCGAACAAAACATTGGAGTGTGACCATTGAACAACATCCCCAAACAAGCGGACTCTCCAGTCAGCCGAGGCTTTTGTGCACCAATGTTGCAGTGAGGTACTCAAGCACATGCCTGGGCACCTCGTGTTCAACATTTGTTCAATAGGCAGGAGCAACCTGGACCTAGAAATTGTTCTCTCCTCCCATTCGGTGCCCCAACAGCTCTGCCTGCCCACTGAGAATCTGCCGCAGCTGCTCCAGCTGCTCCGCCTGTGTCGCCGACAACGGCGCCTCTGTCTGCGCTGGGACCTGCGCGGCCGGCTCCTGTGCTGCCTGCGGAGCTAAGGTCGAAGGGCGTCGTTCGGCCGGCTCTCGGTGAGTTTTGTCTTGGGTGTTCACTGGTGTCCACTGGCCTCCTTGAGTCAGTCTGAGACCAAGTCGAGCGTCCTTTAGCATTCAAATCACAAGTAAATTTAGTCAAACACACTACATATAACACATTATAATACTATATACGCAGTGAAGGAAGACTTTGACACTGACATCACAGAGGTTGGGGATCTTCCACTCTGAACCCTGCCTCTTGAACATCTGTTCTTGCTCAATTTTAACAGTGCCACTGACTAGTGCGCACTAAAAACATCAAATTTTAGCATCGTCTTCATGAACACCCCTACCATCCACCACTCTAGACCTATATATATATATATATATGCTCCTCTGCCACCGCACTTCTCCCCAAACCGATGCTCCCGAATTGCCTCGGCACTGGCGGTTGCGGCGGTTCCGGCACTCGCAGCTGCCGCACGAGTTCGGCCGGCGAGTTCGGCAGGCTCACCTCGATATGGGGAAGCCGACGGCTGTTCAACGGTGTCTCACCAAATGCGAGACAAAGTGAGACCCAGCTGGGGAGGCTAGTGCCTATAGCCTATAGAGAGTCCAAAAGCAGAAACCCACTTCACACGTGTACTTGGAGTCGACCCGGAACTCGTACCTCGGACATCCTGGGTACAGTGCCTGGTACAATCGTACCTGGTCTTCTGTAGACCGTCCCATTTTCTGTTCGGTACTTACCCAGACACGACTCCATGGGACCGATCGGCAGTCCGATGGCAGTCCCATGGAGTGTGAGTTGGAGTCCCAAGAAGAGCTTTGACAAGTCCAATTGGACAAGTCCACTCTCTATCCGATCACATTGGTGATGCGGAAAACCACCTCCCAAGTATAGAGGAATATGCTTATCCAAGGGTTGCTTGTTCGGCTACATGTAAGGGTGACAAGAAAAATACCAGTCATTTCTTCTGGGATTTCCAGCTTGGTTCCGTTATACCGTTGTTTTATTATAGGTCAGGTGAAATGTGCAACCTTTTTGAGCCAAACGACAAAGAGTTTGAACTGCTGTGATTGGTGGAACAGTCATTTTACTTGATCTGCTAAATCCCAAAGACTCATCCGTATCCACGTAGTCTTCATTCCGTGCAAGCCAGTCGAGGGGATTCGATAGGATCAAGCCAGTCAAGGGAAATCTTCAAGCACCAACCTGCAGACTGGAAGCACCCGACCCCTGTGTGGTTGCGCAATAGAAAATGAGTGGCAAGCGCGAATTCGGGGAAGACTTTCATGTGCGGGGAGAGGGCAGGAGTCAAGTGGGGGCTTGTCAATGAGTCTATATATACAAATTGTAAACATCTAGAATCTAAATGGTCGATCTTTTGTTGTCTTTTGTTGGCATTTGGTCCAGAAGCTCTGCAAAATTCAGTTGTCTGATCTAAAAGGAAAGTTCTGCAACACCAAATTTTTGACGATCCATGTCTGGCACCACATTGACCCCCCCAACTGGTCTGGACATCTTGGATGCTCTGAGACGCTTTAATGATCGCCTCAGGGTGAAACAAGGCTCAGAATTGTACTAAATTCTCCCGCAGGAAGTGTCACACAGTGTGTCCCAGTTTGAAACAAAAGCAGCAACGCCACATCACATGCAGAGCGTTCTACACTCTGACTCCTTATCCATGGGAGTACAATCACCCCATCGTCCCCAGCGAAAACCATTCAAAATCCTGGTGAACTCCACTCTCAGTAGCCCAGTCCGCCCTCTTCCTAGAGGAAAAGGCAATCCTTTCGGAGCAGGGTGTGACCCACTTCGCTTCCTGTCTTCGGACGTCGCTCTGCGCCGCGGCGGCCTTCACTGCTGAACACCGGCAGCTGCGGCAGCTGCGGCGCCTCGCTGGAGGGCCTCAGATCGGAGGGTCCGGACGGGGAGCGATCCCGGAAGCCAGACACGACGGAAAGGGAGACGGATTGGACCACGACGGGTATAGGGTGGCTGGTTGAAAAGGAGTGAAGGGGTATATGGCATATCTTCCAGTCCCATGGAGTGTCTGGGAAATGAGGGAGGAGTTCCTTCTCATGAGAAAATGAAAGCAACCATGACCCGACCCATAACTTAGTACCCAGAATTCCCAGGCACTCCATGTATGCCATAAATGCCTACATTGACCCCCCAAACCACCCCAATGTAGGTAAATATACCATACATGGAGTGTCTGGGATAGCCTATAATAGCGATTCGTGGATTGAGAGTGGATGGCAGAAGTTTGGTGGTCTCTATGGCTGGATCCCCATCTAAATGACATCCTGGGGTTTGTGCCATCTACTGTAATATACTCTGAAACCACTATATGGGGCCCGTGATATGTCCTTGTGTAGATGAGGGGGTGTTCATATATTAAAAACAAATTACACTCCCTGCCACTAACATGGAAGTGGAGAATGGCCCCTTGGAAGACAATTTTCCACTACAAACAGGTGGTTTTCCACTTCCATGTTAGTTCCAGGGAGAGTAAACCACCTAACTTGGGGGATTGTGCCATCTAATTACTCTGAAAACTATGGTACAACCACCCGGCACCTCTGGTTGCGGCCGGGCTGCGGCCGTTCCGTGGCGGCGGCCACGGCTTTGGCGGCCGCCGCCACTGCAGAGGCGAACTTGGAAGCCTGAGGAGTGGGCTCAACGCACCTGGTTGACCTGGGCTTCCAAGACTCTAAGGAGTTCAGTTGAACTGGTTTTAGCAGTCCACTCACAACCCTTGGTCTACAAACCAGCCATGCTTCTGGCTTCCCTCAAGGTCCGTCCAACGTCTAACACGTTTACGGTCGGGAACCGTTTCACCAAGCATCAGTCTGCGGTTCACAAAGCACGTTTGACAACGCTGCAATGATCCTCAAGAATCAGTGGACCAATTCGGATGTCGACATCCCCATGCCTTGCCTCGTTCACGGACCTCTCTTGTCTCGCACCCGACCCGACTTGGTCAAAAGGACCTATTCCATGCATGGAAAATGTTCCGTTCGCGCCACAGCGAAACATCTACAGGTCCTCGCGCGCGCCTTGGCTGCTTGAGCTGCCTGCTCCTCTTTGCTGGGCGCCTGGTGTGTCGACATACGATCGTTTTCCGAGCCAAGCATGCATAGAATTCAGAACACCACCAAAGACGCGATGGGCCATATTTACCTACACCCTGGAAGACTAACAATGACGGGGCCAGGACGTCAGGGTCTATGTTAGTTGACTCGGGAGTGTACATTGGGGTGGTTCAAAAGGGGCAATGTGTTTTCTAGCTTTTTCTGATGGGCGAGCAGCATCGCACCGAAAAGTCTGTGGGTTCACTGGTTCATCACTGGTTCACTGGAGGGCTGGGCACCTGCAGAAGTGGATCGAATGAGGAAGTTGGGCCCAGACAGGAAGAGGACGATGGTCAGCTGGGAGATGTGTTGGCGTGCCACGTGATTCAGGTGACACTCATCGTTGTCCTCAAATACACCAGGTCACAACTAACATCGCTGCGATGACAGCAAACCGACTTGCTTGACCCCTAAATGGGGGTGACTGGGGTCGAACGACGGCACATGTCGGCACATGTCGGCACGTGTGATATGCCCCAAAAAGGAAGATCAAGGCGATGCTCAGCTGTATTTTCACCACACGTACCGTCGCCATCGAACTCGCGTTGCGGCTCCCGAGAGAAACCCTGCTCTCTCTGAAAAAGCACCTTGAAGGCCACTTTCGCCACCTTTGCCACCTTCCTGTGCGGCTTGCGCTTGATGAAGGAGTGAGAAACTCTGCTTTTAGTTGGGGGTCTCAGACCACGGACAGCTTGAAACTTAGTAATTAGATCTGTACAGGTCAGCTTGACCTCATACAAAACACTACTCACGGAGGTTTTGAGGACCAGGCTCTATTGAGTCTTTGGACTTGTAGGGTAATCTTTTCCTCTGAGTATACCTAGTTTTTATCTGTTGTTTGTCTGAAAATGTCATCCGGATATACCCATAGCCACGGCAGTCATGAGACAACGGTAGTCGTTTTGTTCTCTTGGGGAGATTGATCTTCCACAGTTTGAGGTCCAGTTAGGATGATGAAGCCCAGTGATTTGCCCATGGAATTTGCTAGACTCTACTCTTAGAATTCTTTCATGTGATCAGAACTGCAGTTTGGAGATCCTCCTGCATCCACCTTGTTTCATCCAGATTTTCTCTCAAATGGGGATTGTCTCATAGGGAAAATGCAACATCATCCACCCACCCCTTCTCAGCGCCATTCTTTTTCGTACGCTGCGGACTTCCATTCCGAAGCGGACGAAGGAGAAGCCACTGGTCGCGAGATGGGCGCTGGAGCGTCGCGACGAGGGGCAGGAGCTGGTCCTGTTGGAATGGGGTAACACAACGGGACCAGGGTGAATGAACTGGGGCAAAAAACTCAACAGTTAACATGCTATAAAACATGATAAAACGTGATCTGGTGAGTGGATATACATGATATGCATCATGGATACAACTGGTGTGTTTTCGTTGAGAAGCAAGAAGCTTCTCAGTGAAGACTTGACTCACCAATTTTGCCCGGGAAATCGGCAGGCAGGTCCTGGTCAACTTGAGGGTGGCCATGACAGCGCCCTGACAGCGTGGTGCACCACGCGCGGGATTGGTTCAAGGCGGCTGAGCTGAAAAATGATGGGGTGCCCTGCACAGAAATGTCTATGTTCGGCCCTGCACTAGGCAGTTAGGCCATATTTTAGGTGCCTCTTAGGTGCCTCTGCATGCCACCCAAAGTGTGAGCAATGGGTTGCCGCCATGAGGTTGACATTCCCTACGTACCGAGGCCCGAAAGAGGTATATTCTACAAAAATATCACAGGAAATGTGTGTGGTGTCTCTAAGATATCCTATCGTTTTCCCTGACCCCCGCCAAAATGCTACGATCAGTTATGAAATGTCACCATCATGAGACGTTGGATTCTTCATACGAGCATCTGCCAAAACATGCACTGTCAAGTAGAAGACATGAACAAGGTTGTTGCTTTTGAAGGGGGCCTATCGCTTTTGCAGGTATTAGCCATAACATAGCTGAACATAATCCAAAAATTGCAGGCCTATCACTCTTGCAGCTTTTAACCCAATTCTTCAAATACTCGAGCGCTCTTTACTCGATTAGTCATTGCACGTTCTGGCGGTTGTTCATATGCAGGTCCACCCCCAAAGGCTTATAGGAGCGCCTGGTGCGAGCCGCCAACACAACAGGACATGCTGGATACGATCTGAAGTAGCTTGAGATAGGTCCAACCCGATCTACGGATCTAAGCCATGTAAAGCACCCAGCTAAGGGCCAGGACTCCATCCGCTCGCCGGCCACCAAACCCCCACCCCAATGGTCAGATCGCGGCAAGAGGCCGACACTGGCGGTGTCTTCCGGTCCTTTCAACATTGCTGCGCCAGGCGTGCGCAGGATGCGGACGCTCTGTCCGCCGTCTGCTACGGGGGTCAGCCGCTGCTGACACTGGTGAGGCCCTCCACTAGTTGATAGACCACGGCCGCAGTGACCTCTGCAACGACTTGCCTGGGCGACGGAAGAGGGATGGAAGAGGAGAGGCCGCGCAACGCGGGAGACAATGGATGAAAAATAGGTTGCAGTATGTTGCAGTTCAAGAATGTTATGATGTATCCAAGAGCAACTGACAAAATTCTAACTATACCGCTCCCACTATATATAAGATTGGAACCTGCATTCAAACAATTGGAAATGGCAGTTTGGAGCGTCTGGGTTGAAGAAATGACACACAATGGGACTGGCATACTAATTTGATCTTCTGTCATTTGTACCACTGGGATCCATTGGGGTGGTTGAGGAGGGATGATGCGTTTTGCAAACACAAATATGGCTAAGACTGGCATATTTACCTACATTGGGGTGGTTGAAGAATGTTGAAGAGGGGTCAATGTGGGCAAACTTTCCAGTCCCATGCCGTGTCTGGGCGTGTTAGAGTGTATAGGAGAAAAACCCAAACATGCGAGCCTGATCAAACGTGAAGCTCCTTTTAAACGTACAAGGAGGCCGGGGATTGTTCAACAGGGAAAAGGACAACATCATTCCCAAACCATCTGATCCCAAACTCTCCTGTTTTTGGCACAACGAGGTGCTTATTCTCCAAATACTCCTGGAGTGCCCCTTCAGGATGCTTGCTCAGGCCATTGCAGGCGTTGTCGCAGCAACAAAGCCTCAAACACTGCCGGAGGAGCTGCGTGGGTGTTCTGCCGGAGGAGCTGTGTGATCGGATGTGGATGCGACACTGGAAGAGCACCAAATCTGCAAGAGAAAAGTCCCTCAAAAGGGGAATGGCTTTCTGTCATGGTACCAACCACGAAGAGAAGCAAACGAGTCTCTTCCATGTGCGATCGGTTCAGATGAATCACAGAGCTAGTTTCCCGTGTTGTTTTTTCGCCAAGTCCTTCAATGCGACCAATTGTTCAGAAAGACATGCCTTCGTTCAAGACATGCCTTCCACAACTGGGTTCCCCCGCAGGAAGTAAGGCACCTTCCGCCGGGTGCGAAGAAGAGCAAAGAGTATCGACTCCGATCATTAGCTAAAATACCGGCCGCCACCCGAAGAATGGTTCATTGGATGGAAAACACACACATGGGAGCCGGGGTCCCATGAACCACCCCGACCTGGGTGGTGAGTAAGCTTTGAGAAGGTCTTTATAACAAAAAGAACCCTTGCTGGTCCAGTCTGTCCCAGTCCTGAAAGCCGGTCGTTCGACGTCGCCATGTTGGCCGATAGATCACTCGAGTCCGATGTACCAAAACAACACAGACGAGAAGCACGGTGCTCTGGAGATGCATAGTAGGCATAGGCTAACAGTGTCCGTGGTCACTCACGTGAAGAAGGGAAAAAAAATTGTAAGACGAACACCCTACGGGGAGGTGGGACTGGTATATACATATGTCATCTTTCTACTGTCCTGTCCTGTGTCTTCTGGTTCTTTGTTTCCGATTCTGGACACAACCACCCTTCAAAAAAGGGACGTCCCACACCACCTGCGTGCGATCGATGGCAGGCAGGCAGCGCCTGGAGCTCTTCGCAAAGCATCCACTCGTTCCCCGCGGTCATTCCCACCACATGGCCGATACCTCCACAGGCGAGCCGCAACATCCCGAAACGAGCCGGACCGGACGGACCAACGATCGTTTCGTGAAACCGGGGTTGAAACGGTGCGGCACATGCACAACAAAAGAAACAAAAAAATAACGCGCGCAAAAGACTTAAATAAGACCCGACAAAAACAAAGAACACACACGCCAAAAACAAAGAGCACAGCACCCTTTCAACAAAAAGAACCAAATCGCAGACGGCCATGCATCTCTGGTTCTCAAACCGAGAATCCTTCGGCCGAACCCGGCCGTTTTCGAACCCCCTTCCCACCGAACCGACCCCCCTTCCCACCGAACCGACTGCCGCCCAATCCGCCTCGGTAGCTCCGGATCTCCGCGCGGGTCTCGAAGCGCGGCCCCACGGTGTTCACATAGACCATCTCCTCGCCGCCGCTCCGCTCCAAGTCGAGCCCCCGCGGCGGATTAGCCGGAGGAGCCGGAGGGCGGCGAAAGACGAAAGTGCCATCGACGAAAGTGGTGTGGCAGTTGGAATGGGAAAGTCATGGAAGTTGGAGGCCCAAGGGTTCTTTTTTCGGATGGTGCTGGGGCTTTCCAGATAGACCGAAACTTGGCCGTGCACAGGTATCCCAGGTATCTGGGGGGTCCCTCTTTGTCCATCAACCTAGGGTTTAAAGGGCCAACTGTGTGACACTGGGTCTGGGCGCAGCAGTTCGAGGGGTAGCAAGTTCGACGTGGTTTCGGACGGAACAGAACTGATGGGAGGTGATGAATAGTGTGATTCCAAGCCTCCGGGTCATACCGGGTCTTGGTCTGTCTTGGTCTATGTAACTTAGGGATTGTAATGGGGTACTTCTTTGAAGATGTCCTTCATCACCCGGACAAAAAAAGTAAGTATGATGATGAAAGACATGCACAAGCTTCTACTGATTCTAATATGGAAGACTGGAATGGATCTCAAATGCTTGGATGATTCATGCTCAGTCTGTGTTGAGATCAGCACCGGCGCAAGTAACCTTACACGCTGCATGTGCGGTGTTCAAAACAACACACCACCTAGACTTCACACTGAAGTCACACATCTCCAATGCAAAACCACTGAACTGACATGTTAACTATAAACATGGAAAAGGTCAAAGATCGGAGACTATCTGCGGCCCCCGGCCCACAGGTTTCAGAAACTGCACAGAAGTGACACATTCATTGGATTAAAGAAAAACATGGTTGACTCAGTTAATCAAAGAGTTTAGTTAACTCATGATCAGTGACTCAGATTGTTCGACATGAGTTGACTCAGTCGTCCCGGGACGACTTGTCGGGTCGTCCCGAGTCCCGAAGAACGGAGGTCGCGAAGGCCAGACCGGTGGGGAAGCGTTGGGTCGGAGCGGTGGATGACTCGGACCGTTGGCGAACGAAGAGGATGAAACATGGTCCTTCCGTTTGGATGGATGCCATCCAAGAACCATGTTCGGAGCGTAGGGCGTAAGGTTGTTAAAAAAGGGAACTGATAATCAGAATGATGGATCTCAGGATGGTTTTACATCTCCAATATATATTGTATAGGGTGGTTTTATTCATCAACAGTACCTACATGCAGTAGAAACTACTAACTATATGTCAATAAATTGCATTCTGTTGGTGTC